GGGGTTATCCTCCCACGAAAAAAAAAAAAACCTTCTCACAGGCCATCCCAGAGTGTCTCGCTTTTCAGCAAGGAGGGAAGAGCAGCACAGGGTGAAGATCCAGTTGGTGAGATGCCAAAAACTCACCTGGGAAGCCTACAGAAGCCACCCTGCTGTGGCTAAAACACAGCCAAGCTGCCTGGATAACCCCCTCAGAGGTCTCTGCGGGGTTTTTATTCACTCACCTTTTTCACCATGGTGGTCTCCGAGTCAAGTTTGGCTTTTTTGGTGTCCGGCCCATCTTCCACACCTGGGCTGACTTTGGCGACCTTGGTTTTCTCTCTACAGAGGAAAAAAATTGAGCTCGCTTTGAGAAACCACAATCCTCCTTCATGCTGCTCAGCAGCAAACAGTCTTTTATGACTCTTAAAGATTTAAAATCTCCTGGAAACAGGCAGCCTCCCTGAGTGGGTGAAAGCAGCTGAAACACTGATGCCCTTCTTGCGGGGCCAGTACTCCTCTCGCCACCCGCTCCCCCCGACTCACTCCACAAATTCGTGTTCCCCAAGGTCAGCAAACATATAACCGTGGTAGCCGAAAACATCGCCGGTGAAGAACTTGATGCTGTTCTTGTGGCAAATCTGGTCGATCTTCACCATAATATCCCGGGAGCAACAGGTTAGGCAGACCTGCAGGCAGAAATTTGAACACTTACCCCCGCCATTTTCCTCTTCGCAGGGTTATTAGGTGTGTGCGAAATCTTCCCTGCCTTCCTGGGGCAGTGGGGAAGGTTCCAGGTAGATTTGCCGTTTCATGCACAGCGGGGCACACTGCTCTGTGTAATTATCAATTTTCCCCTCCTGTTCACACCGGCTAATTCCAGCAGCCTCCACTCCGGGGATAATTAGAAGGCTGGGGATACGGCATCCCGTTTCCGGATAATTTTGGTGGGAATTGGGGGACAAAGCTAAATACGGATATTTTTAAAACTCAGGGCCTGTCTATCCTGGGAGCGGAGCAGGATACGTACCCTGGGGTAGCTCCCCACAGGGCCACATTATTATAATCAGTGCTTTACGTTCTCCTCAACAGCTCCTGCTGCCCTGCAGTCAGGCAGAGAAGGCGGGAGCAGGCAGCTGATCCGCAGGAGCTGCAATACCTGGATACATTCCTCCTCCTCCCCCCCTCACTTTCAGAGCCGCTGCCGGATTTTCACCATCCGGCAGGAACCCTGAATTGGGAAGCCGCATTGGCTGCAGTTCCTACAACTACCAGCCGCATCGCGGCCAAAAAAAGCAGGCAGCAGGCAGCCGCTGCCTGACGCGACCTACGGAGGAGACCAGAAGGGGAACAGATGCCGTTTGCGAACAGTCAGGCAGCTCAACCTGTAACTGCAGCACAAAAATTCATGCCAACAGGCAGGCAGCTGCCCACGGCTCAAGGATAGATGCTCTCAGGCACTAACACAATCAGAATAAAAGAGCAATTAGTGAGCGGACTTAGTAATAAGTCAGCAAGCCTCTTCTCCTCCGACCTTTCTCTCCCCCCGCCGCACGTACTGCGTCGAACTGGGTGAAGAACTCTTCGGGCTTGCTCTCCACGCTCTCGGGGTCAGCTTTTACGTCCACCATGGGATTGAGGTTCTGCGCCCGCTCCAGCGAGGCTTCAGCTCTGTTGCGGCCTAAGGAACCCACAGGGATGAGGAACTGAGCTCGTGTGTCCTCTTGGGAAACCTGAAACAGGAGAAAATGGAGAGATGAGTCTTCCTACGGACTCAGGCAGGGTGGGAAAAGCCCCCAGGGAGAATTACAGTGGGTGCTGCGCAAGCGGGAACTCACGCCTGAAAGGGAACAGCTAAGCGGTGCCATCCTCGCCACAGGAAAACTCATCGCGGGATAACCAGAGGAAAAAAATCTCTGGTTATTTTGTACTATTCTTCAATCCCCCACAGCTTCGTCGCTTGCTTCTCCCTGCTCACAAGCTTGCAGCTCCCTCTTGTGCCTGAGGAGACGACGCGCCGTGACCTAGAGGCCACGCTTGTGTGAGAAACATGTTCAGCCGGTGCCAGCGACGTTTGCTGCAGGGCACAAAGCTCCGGATCGGGAATTAAAACCCACCACAGAGTCTGTTTAGGGGTTCTGGGGTCCATGAGACTTGTGGCAGGAGCTTTGAGCCCCACATCTGCTTCATACACGCCTGCCAGCCCCAGATAAACACAGGAAGGGGCTGTCCCGATGGAGATAGACGCGACAGGGCTGGGTGGAGAGTGCCAAAGCCACGTGTCCCCAAAAATAAGCTGGCTTCTCAGAGCGGGGTGCAGCACCCAAGGACATCCAGAAAGCAAAAGGGCAAGCTATGGTTCAACCCCGCAGCTTGAGAGCCGGTGGAGGAGCAGAGCCTGCCATTTAGCTGCCATGCGAATGACTGGAAATGCAAACTCTACATGCCTCAAAATGGAGTAATTCCACCCGAAGCAGAATATTTATCCCAAAAAGCAGTGAGCGAGTCCTCCAGCGTTGGCACTGTACCGCACTGGGAGTGGTTGGAAGCTTTGCTAACCAAAGCTGTAAGGTTCTCACCTGCTGATGGTCCAGCATGGTCAAGCCTTTAACTCCTGCCAAGATGAGATTCTTCGCCACTTCTGCTCCGAGACCCTTCATCCCCACCAGCAGCACCCGGGAAGCCCGCAACCTGTGGCAGAAACACTCAGTTAGCGTTAACGGCTTGCCTGGAGCATCCCCCAAGAGTTGGGACAAAGGGGAACCAGTGCTCAGAGGGAAAACATGGCAGATAAATACGGCTGAACAGGAAAAACGTGCTCCTTGCCATCCCTACCTGGGAAAAAAGCAGGTTTAACACGATTTGGAAGCAAATAGAGAAATGCACAAGCTGTCAGGAGTGGGTAATTCAGGAAAATTCACAGAAAAAAAGAGCATTTGCAGCTTTGGAACAGGCTGTAACACTGAAGTCTTGTGCTGCTTTTCAGCGAATGGGGCGGGGGGGGGGGGTGCAGGTTCATTACAACACATGCTTCGGGGTTCCTAATAGCCTCCCTGCCCGCCAAAAGGGCTGAGGGCTGGAGCTGCACCAGGATGTGTATAACTTATAATTAATCGGAAATTAATACATTTCTGTGTATATTTATTCCAGCACAAAACTGCATGTGCAACTTTTAAGTCTTCCAAGTAACTGACTGATGTGTTTTCCTTGCCTTTTATCATTTAGATATTGGCCACCCTGGCCTTGGAAGCCTGTTATTGATTAGCCTGTATCAGTTTTCTGACAAAATCAAGTTTACTCAGCACTGAACAATAATCTGGGCTGTTAAACAGACTCATGTGGTTTTGGCCTATTTTCACGCTCATTTTTATCTGCACCCAGCAACATCATTACATTCGTCTTCACATTTTGGGGCTGTTCCACTTTCTCCTGAACAAACCCTATTGCTGCTTCCCAGGCAACACCTAAGAAATTGGGAACAAGCAGAAATCTGGACAGCCTGCAGAAAAGGACCACAAAAAATAACTTGAAAGCTAAAAAAAAAAAAAAAAAGCCCTTACAGAGAAAATAGGGACTTAGCAAGAGGGTTTCTAGCAGGGAAAGACCCAGGAACCAGCAAGTGGGAGCAGATGCTTTGCAATTCCAGCTGGGAATGAATCAGAAGCCTTTTTTTTTTTTTTTTTTTTTTTTTTTTTTTTTTCCCCTCTTTTCCCCACATCTTCAACTCCAGGAGGCACAAATTTCACCTGAATGTGCACTACAGCAAGTTCGGCTAAGCCCGAGTTTCACAGGAGATTGGGCAGAGACCCCACAGACCCCTATAGGACCCTACATGCTTACATACCCACCCCCGATCCCTCTCTGAAGCCCCTACAAAGCTCCTGAGGACCCTCCGCAGCAGCTACAGTCTCCACAGGAGTCCCTACATGGCCCTTCTGCATGCTGTATGGTCCCCATAGGCTCCCAAAAGTTCCTACAGGGCCCTCCACAACCTCCTACAGAGCCCCCATAAGCCCCTGTAAGGCCCTCCTCACACTGCAGGGCTCCCATAAGCCCTTCCAAGCCCCCCCCCCCATATTGCAGGGCCCCCACCCCGGCCCCCAGAAGCTTCTATATGGCCCCCTCACATTAAAGGACCCCATAGGCCCCTCCAGGGCCCCCCACAAGCCCCTCCAGGCCTCTACAGCCCCCCAACAAGCTCCCTTCACATTAGAGGGCCCACCCTGACCCCTATAGGGCCCCCCACAAGCTCCTATACAACCTCACAAGGCCCCCCTCATATTACAAGGCCCTCACAAGCCCCTCCTCACATTTTGGGGCCCCTCCAAGCCCTATAGAGCCCCCCACAAACCCCTCCAAGGCCCCCCCCTCACATTGCAGGGGCCCTCCAGGCCCCTAAAGACTTCCCCACAAGCTCCCATAAGGCCCTCACAGGCTGTGGGGCCCCTATAAGTCCATCCAGACCCCTACAGGGCCACCCAAAAGCCCCTCCAAGGCCCTCCTCACATTGCAGGGCCCCTGCATGCCTCTACAGAGCCCCTCACAACCCCCTCCAAGGCCCCCCCCCCCTATTGCACAGCCCTTCCAGGAACCTATACCCCCCCCCCAACAAGCTCCTACAGGGTCCCTCTCATATTACAGCCCCCACACAAGCTCCCACAGGGTTCTTCACAGGCCGCAGGGTCCCCAGAAGCACCCCCCACGGCCTCTCTACGCCCCCCCTCCGGCTTCCCCCGCAGGCCCCAGCCCCACTGACCGCTTCTGGGCCTCAAGCCCCCACAGCCGGATCTGCCGGTCATACTGTGCCGCCTCCTCCTCGCTGATGCCGCCGGGGCCGCCTTCCTCCTTCTCCACCATCCCGCCACCACCGCCACGGCCGCCGCCTCACGGTCAGGACAGCGCCCCCTGGCGGCCCGCGCGAACGCCGCGCAGCATCCCTACCGCTCGCACGTCCAACGGAGAAAGAAGGGGGGGGGGTCAGGGAATCCTCTACCCGGCCCGGAGAGCCCCGGCGGCCCCACGCCCGCGACCCCACGGCAGAACCACCTCGAGGTGTTTCTTCCGCAGTTCCATCCCCGCGTGACCGCGTCGTTCGGCCTGGGGACCTCCCCGTGCGTGGTCAGTTGCGCAGCTTCCCCCCTCCCCCCTTCTCCCGCTCAGATGGACTCGTCCTCTCCTCACCTCCTCGGGCCTCTTCGGGCGTTCCCGCCATCTCCCGTTCACCTTCGGCAATCTCCGGAGCTTTTCGTTAAGACCCGGAGGCGGGTGTGTCTGTGGCGGGGGCGCTCGGGTTTTTCCGGCACCTCTCGGATTTTTCCGTCCTCGTTCGGGTTTTTCCGGCCTCCGTGCGGGGCGCTGCCTCGGCGCGGCTGCGTGCCGGCGGGCGCCATTTTGTGTGCCTGCCCGAGGAGCGCGGGGCGGGCGGGCGGATAAGCCGGGCCGGGCCGGGC